TAAAGGCGTGACGGCACGGCAGTGGATATTTGGCACAAATATCTATTTTAACGCGGCGGGCATCAGAGACGATCAGAAGCGGATCAGCCACGCGTTAACACTGTTGCAAGGGGCCGCCCTACAGTGGTCGAAGGTCATTGTCGACTTAGCGGCAACTCGCACAGAAGGACAACACGAGTGGTGCGAAGAATTCAACGACGAAGACGAGGCAGATCTGTTGTTCGGAGCAACCCACATTCGCACGTGGGCAACGTGGTGCACAAAGCTTCGCAAGCGGTTTGAGCATGGACCTGACTTAGGCAAGGCACGCGAAACTCTACGCATGTGGAAGCAGCAGGGATCTGTGTCCGAGTACACCGCATCATTCGTGACGTTGGTGGACAGATGTGGCTGCATGGACGAGTTAAAGAAGGTCGACAGGTACATGGGCGGCTTGAAGCCTGAAATAGAGTACCAGATAAAACTGCAACGCCCTCCAAAGCTGTTACAAGACTACATCCAGCTCGCCGAAGCCGCTTATTCGATCACGAAGCCGAGGACGAACTTCTACGACGGAGGTCGCCCTTGAGAACAATACCAGCGCCACGAAAAAAGGGGTGGACGCAGTGGATATTTACGTAGTTGCTCCGCGAAATACGGGGCTATGCCACCACTGTGGCCGGCTGGGTCACATCCAACGAAACTGCCAAGAATTCATAACCCTCCAGAATTCTATGGGAAAGAAGCTAGAGGAGCGACCGGGAAATGGGTCGCGTTAGAAAGTACCGACCCCTTACTGACGGGCAGGCTTCTTTGCCCAAACCACACAGTCCCCACCGGGTCGTGATCCCGATTGCTGCAATTGACCGGACCCGGACGAAGAAGGGGGACGAAACTGCTGATCACTCTTTGTTGGTGGAGTGTGAGAGTACGACCCCGTTACACTAATTTCCCCTTTCCATATTTCATTTCTATTTCATTCCTCTTATTTATCCTGATTCATTTGGTCTTTATCTCATCTTATTTGGTTTCCTTTTCCTCCTTTTCCATTATCCTTTGGTGTATCCCGTTATTATAATTAACCGACCAGGCTCGGTATGTACTGGCGCGCTATATCTAGCGTAATCCTGTCGTAATCCCTTAAAGCCAATAACCTCGCGTGGCTATACACATGGTGATTCTATATCTAGAAGGGTCTATTCCCCCTGGTTTGGATCACCCTGGTTACCTGATGTACTATGGAAGTATAAAAGTACCTTGTCCTGATTGATATTGCAACATTGAGTAAACCTCATTCGATTCTGTGACACTTGGTAATCAGAGCCAAGGTTTCAGCTCAACGCTTAAAAGCTGGGCCCCCAGGAGCAGGCGCAGGATGGAGTCGAAACTTCAATCCCTGTAAGTACAATGCACTTTCATTTAAGTTTCGACTCACCTATCGTAGTTGCACCTGGGGTCACCTTCGAAGAAGAGATGCCTCGCCGACCGTTCGATGGACTGCATCGACGGTGCCGATGTTTTTCGCGGGGGCAAACGGCCTTGACCGCGCGAAAGCGTCACTTCTGGCGGAACACCCCCTGCGACATTCGGAGAAGGTCACAGTTCGCCACAACACTTGGAGTTGCACGGAAATCTATGGAGCTTCGACCGACGACATCCGTCCGATGGAGATTCGACGCTTCAGATCGACCGAGGCGAAAACGAAACCTTCTGAGCGAGTTCGAGTTCCATCGCTTATGGAAACGGGACCTCGCAAGCCGCGAAATTCTTCGGAGCGTCCGATCGTCCGACAGCCGACATCGACGACTGAAACTTGCTGCAGGAAACGAGTCAACCCGTGCACCGAAAGCTGCTTAACATGTCTCAGGAATATCTTCAGATCGCTTGGAGTTTGGACCGTCGGATCAACTTCTGCTTCAACGGACGAGATGGAGCGCGACTTCTGCTTAAAGGGAGAATGACGCGCAGAACCTGAAATCAGCCGCTTTCGACAACGCTGACATCATCTGGACAACCAGACTCGAATTCCTTCATTTGGTGACAAATATGGCGCGCTAATCATCTGCAGAGTCCGAAATCTGCCAAAACATTACCTGCTTGGTAATAGCTGCTAGTAGAAAATTGACAGGAGAACGTGGATCGTCGGATCGGTGCGGAATCAACGGCACAAATGCAGCGGAGACTACACTACGGAAAATCATTACAATGGAGACAACATTCGTGACCAGAGACTGCAAAATCGATGCATCTTCTGATCAGTGTCGACAACGATCGATTTATTTTGACGAAGACAACTTCGTTAAAAATGGATCGACATCAACGCCACGAGATCTTCAACCAGGAAGAACAATGGAGCTGCGTGAAGACATGTTCTCCACCAATGAGACACTTCATCTCATAAATTTGATCGACAACCTATGGGATTGCAGAGAAGTAGCCGTTTTCTCTTGCAATGCTCTCAAGTTCAAGTTGCTGTGAAGGAGCAGATTTCGCACGCAACGATGACGCAGTGAACACGTCTCGGCAAGGCCAGCGAGACACTAGTTTGTGACAGGAGCTGATCGATTCGTCTTCATCAAGAATCTCAACCATCAAGAGTGATTGATTGGAGTAGTCTCAACATCGACCTGACGAGGCGACACACCAATCATGCATCGCGATTCCATGTGTTAATGACCTGCGTGGAAAAAAATTCCCGATGCTTGACAGATTGAGGAGTAATTAAATTCTAATCTGGCAAATACTCGCTCACTAGCGACCCTACGGCAGATGCATTGGAGGCGATTCTACCAGAAGCCGAAGCGTTACAAGCATCAGCGTAACTTCAACGATACAGGAGAACGCCAAGCAATACGAGGTGTCAACACATGAGGGAGATGCGGACTACTATAACACAATCACGCGCTCTACCGACCGTACATCGGAGGCACGGATGAGCATACCAGGAATTGTTACCTGTGTATACATTGAGGGGAGAAGCAATTTTCTCTTCATACCCTCAAATGAAACCATCACCGGCAGCAATGGAGCAACACATGTGTACCAATGTGTATGTGTTCCTGGTAGTTACGCTTGTTACACCCATCAGGAACACTCTAGTAGGAAGAGGGAGTTGATGGATTCTCCTTCAACCGATACGAGTTGAGAGAATTCTCTGCAGCAGCTGCCGCCGTCGCCGTCGTCGCAACCGCCGCCGCCGCCGCAGCAGAAGACTTGACACAACAGTCACAACCAAATCCTGATGGACGATTCTCCGCTCAATGGAGATAATGCTGGATTATATTCCAGCTAGTGGGGAGGAGATACCACTATGCGAGGAAACAATAGCTATGGAAATGCCATATACCCTCAAGAGCAGGAGATATTTGCTCTTATGAGGATGGGAGGACTACGGTACTCTACCGGTATACAAGTCCTCAAGGCCTATGGCTTTTCTTAAAGTCATAAAACCTACGTCGCAACCAATCCATTACCAGCACCAACTCTACGGAAGCAGATAGGCGTGGAATGGAGCGCCGACGCCACTACGGATAGTGGAATCCGTGTATCTCCAACAACACCCCTGTTTGCCGAAATGGAGCAAACTTCAACATCGATGCTGAGTAGCTGAGACTTCTTCGACATCAACGCTACTTCAAGAACAGTAACAGAATGAGACAACACATGATGGCACCAGAAGACCTATTCCAATATGTGCGCCCAGTCACCGATGCCTACCAATGGCCTCGGTGCTAAACTGGAAGTGCATAAGGTCATATTGGATTGGTTGTCACCAATGCCCATTTGGAAGTGGGAAAGGATTACTTGGGAATACCCATAACATTCCCAGATGTCTTAACCCATCACTGTGGGATATCTATGCAGCAGAGATTCCTTGCTTGAGAAATCACTGAGGGAAACTACTTTGGCGCCGATTCTGGAAGTTACCAGCTCCGCGTTTATAGTACCAACCCTTCGCATGGTTCGGAACACAAGGGATACGCTGAGCAGCACTTCGCACACGTTGTTGTACTCAAGGCCATGTGACTAGTCGACCGCGTGGTGGACAGAGTTACTACTAGTGATTCTGCTCTCCAATCTCGCAGCACTACGATGCCGAGAGTGTACAACTTGCGACAACACTACGGCATGGACCAGCATTCGACAGAAGCTGCATGTATCTGATACAATGCTTCTACCGAAGCAGGTTTATGACACGACTGCAACACCACCAACACTTGGTCATCTTCATACGTGGACGGGATGCGAGTAACACGAGGATGTGCTACCCGAGACTCAACGCATGCTACAGTGTGCCAGCTAGAGCACCCACCGAAAGGACAGTACATCTACTCTTCCGCTCAACGCTATCCGCGTACCACCTACAGTTGCAACCAGCTCACACCATAGCTATCCACACCATAATCTCGACATCAGCCATCTTCCATCCAAGCTTCAACCTTGCTTCTGCGGGACTATCCTCTTTGAAGCAAAGGTCACTTCATTCACCTTCCTCTTCCGCCTACCAGCCACTTGGAAGATCCATACCGCCTTCCATACCAGCTTCTTAAACCCTATCAAGACCAAATACGCTCTAGACCAAATGCCAACCACTGTCGTCGCCCGTGTTCATCCACGACATGGGACAACTACGTGCTCGGACACTATCGTTATCAAAATGGCACTCTGGAGCTTGTTCTTTGTTAGAAGGGTTGTGATCCTTCTGAGGCTGCGTCTCTGAATTCGACATGGGGAACGCCCGTCGTCCTCTTCGCGACTACCTTGTCAAGCAGGGTGTTACTTCTACCACCCAGCTTTGGGGGGGGGGGAAGTGTGAGAGTACAACCCCATTACATTAATTTCCCCTTTCCATATTTCATTTCTATTTCATTCCTCTTTTTATCCTGATTCATTTGGTCTTTATCTCATCTTAGTTGGTTTCCTTTTCCTCCTTTTCCATTATCCTTTGGTTTCTCCCGTTATTATAATTATAAGCGTAATCCTGCCGTAACCCCTTAAATCCAATAGCCTCGCGTGGCTATACGCATGGTGATTCTATCTCTACAAGGGTCTATTCCATTTGGATAGGATAACCCTGGTTACCTGATGTACTATGGAAATATAAAAGCACCTTGTACTGATTGATTGTGCAACATTGAGCAAACCTCATTCGATCCTGTGACATGGAGGGTAAAGTGAACGGGGTGTTATGGAAGATTTTCGTTGATGGAGGCACGAGTCATAGTCTTATACGACTGGATAGGGCTTAAAAATTGGGTATACCCTTACTCAAGTGTCTACCTGAGATCAATGCCTGACTGGTGGATGGAACACCGCTGACAATAAGGGAACAGGTGGAGAACGTTGGTTTTACTTGTGGGGAGCATGTAAAATTTCGGATGGGGCTACTGGCGACTACCCGTGACGGGTGCAACGTGCTGCTGGGACATGATTGGTTGCGACGGTACAACCTGAATATTGACTGGATGACAGGCGGCTGCAGCATCAAGCTTGATGGGATTTCCCGCGAGCTGCCCAAGTGGACGGGGCCTCGCATGCGAAGCACCCAAGTCCATGCGATCACTTTCAAACGCGCGATGAAGGCTGGAGCTGCAACGTACGCCGTTTATCTTCGCGAGGTGACATCGACGGCCGAGACCAAAGATATCAAGAAGCTGTGCGAGGCCGTCCCCCCGGACTTAGCGGACCTGATGCGGAAATACCCAGGGATTTTCCCGGACGATCTGCCAACTGGACTCCCGCCGAGCCGACTTGAGGACCACAGAATCGAGCTGGAACCAGGCGCCCAACCGACGGTACAGCGCCAATTTCGGCTCAGCCAACCAAAACTCGAAGAATTATAGCAGCAGCTGGATTACCTTCTGACAAAAGGTTTTCTCCGGCCCAGCACGTCACCATATGCCGCCCCGATACTGTTCACGCCGAAGAAGGATGGAGGATTCAGAATGTGTATCGATTACCCCGCGATCAACCGGATCACGATCAAGTCGCGTTTCCCGATCCTGCGAGCCGACGAACTTCTCGACCACCTTTGTGGAGCCAAGCTTTTCTCGAAGATCGACTAGCGAGGATGTTACCACCAGGTCCGCGTCGCCGCCGAAGATTGTCACAAGACGGCATTTCGCACCCGCTATGGCAACTACGAGTACCCGGTGATGCCTTTTGGCCTCACGAACACGCCCTCGACCTTCCAAATGACTATGAACGGAATTTTCAGGGAACTCTTGGACAAATGCGTCATCATCTACCTCGACGATATACTAATCTACAGCCGCATCAGGGAGCAGCACTTACAGGATCTTGATGCAGTCTACACGCTGGTGCAAAAGAATCGCCTCATCACCAAAGGGTCTAAGTACGACTTTCTTAAGCAAGAGTTGGAGTTTCTGGGCCACATCGTCTCTACTGAAGGAGTGAAAATCGACCCCAAGAAAATCAAGACCATACAAAAATGGAAGCCGCCAAGCAACACAAAGGAGCTGCAGAGTTTTTTGGGCTTCGTCAATTACGTCCGCCGGTTTATACCCAATATGGCTGGGTTATCTGCCCTGCTAATTGATTGATTCAAGGATCACGATTGTTTTTGGTGGGGAGAGAAGCAGCAAGCTGCATTTGACCAACTGAAGATCGTGCTCACATCGCCGCCCGTCCTTCGCATCGCCGATCCTGACCGTCCATACGAAGTCATCACTGACGATAGCGACATCGTCATCGGCGCAGTTCTCCTACAGGATTTTGGCCAAGGATTACAGCCAGTCGCCTACGAATCACGGAAGCTACAGGGCGTAGAGAAAAATTACACGGAACACGACAAGGAAATGTTGACGATCGTTCACGTGTTCAAGATCTAGCGGTGCTACCTGACAGGTGCTGACGTCACTGTGCAAACCGACCACAAATCCCTCCACTACCTGCGAGCCCAGCCGAATCTCAACCCGCGACAAATCCGATGGCTCGATTTCCTCGAGTCGAACTTTCACTACACCATCACCTACAAACGGGGCGCCAACAACATTGCTGATGCCCTGACTCGACTCACTGCCCATACACCCGCCATACTAGTCGCCCAGACCAGCCCACTCCTTACCGGACTATTTACCCACGGCTACAAGATCGACCCCTTCTTCCGCTCCGCCATTCACCAACAGCATACCACCGCTACCGCTACGTCAGCGCCTATCAGGTAGCACACTTCCCGCATCTGGTTCCCGACTATGATTTACTTCGTACCCTCCTAATCCAGGAATCCCACGATAATCCTACCTCCGGGCATTTCGGGGTCGACAAAACTATGAAGACGCTGCAGCGCAATTATTACTGGCCGAACATGGCCGACGACGTGCGCAAGTACGTGTCCTCCTGCACCCCCTGCCAGATCATGAAATCATCCCATCAGCGAGCAGCCACACTCTTACAGCTATTGGATCTGCCCAAGAGACCTTGGGAGAAATCCATTCCGCTGTTGGAATTCGCGTATAATAACGCGTCTTCCGTCACAACCCATCAATCCCCATTTTTCCTTAATTACGGACAGGACCCAGGGGTACCCTCTACACCAAACATCGAGACATCAGTGCCCCAGTCCCAGCGATTTGCCGAAGACATCCTCGCATCCCGAGAAAAAGCAGCTGAGGCAATCCGGATAGCCAACCTGGTCGCAAGCCGACAAGCCGATCGTCATCGACGGGACGTCACTTACAAAGTGGGAGATCTCGTACTACTCGACACCTCGCAACTTGCGACTGCCGATCCCGAGCAAACTCCGGCCCCAATCCTGTGGTCCTTTTCAAATGACCAATATGGTGACACCTGTCACAGCTCACCTTCGACTCCCGGCTGATTGGCGTCACCACCCGGCTTTCCACGTCAGCCTCCTACGACCCTACGTCCACAGTTCGTCGGATTTGGCACGTCAACGCATCGTACCGCAGCTAACGCCCTTGCAGGAACCGACAACAGAGCCTCTGCAGATTCTCGGCCATCGAGTTACGATGCAGCAGAACCGTCGAATGGTGAATTTTCTCCTCAGATGGCGCGATCGGATGTCTGAGGATGACAGCTGGATACCCCTCGCTGATATAGAATGACACCTGATTCTGATAGCGTATTATCAGCGTCGGAATGTTTTCGATGCCCGCGGCCTCGTTTAGGAGGGGGGGGTAGTGTAAGGAATGTCCATTCCTTACTGAGTGGTACGCTAGCGCGTACACCCGAACTCCTCGACTCCTCACGCTCGGCCTCAATTGTCGGCCCAACCCTTTCCCGAGTCGCGTCCGGCACTGTCGCCACATTGCCGAACCTACCCACTGTCCGAGGTTATCGCCCTAGCACGCCATTCCCTATATAACCTCGTGCCTTCATTGCAATAGCGACCTTGTATTCTTCACTTCCTATATCATAACAAACACTGACAGATGTCTACAAAGCTGGTTACATGTGGTAACCACCCGAAGCCCCACTGACGTCGGGGGACGTCACTCTCGGATTCACTTTATACCCGCCCTTACAACAAAAACGGAAGTAAAACGGAGGTGGCATCGATTTGTAATTTGGGACCTAGGCGAGGCCGACTGTAGGCTCATAACTAGCAATCAGTAGAGTTCCTCGCGCGCGTAGCCTAGGCTGGACGATATAGAGCAAGAAATAAGAGAAGGGAATAAAGAACGACGTTTCCGCTTCGTCTCGCTACCCGTTTTCCCTCGCTTCCCGCTTTCCCTTCCCTCTTCCCGCTTTTTCTCGCTTCCGCTTCCCACGCAGCACGTCCCTTTGCCTTCACTCCACCCGAAAGCCCCTCGCGCCTCTCTCAATCATCTCGCACCGCTCTCCACCGCCCCTCGCCATGGCCTCTACGTCGACCGCAGAGCCCCTCTCGAGCACGGCGAATGCAGCAGGCGGGGAGGGCGGGGGGGCGGGCGAGGAGGAGATGACGCTGGGCGTGCGGTGGGCGGGCAAGGACCTGACGGTGCGGGCCAGCGGCGACGACACGGTGGGCGAGCTGAAGCGGCGCCTGTGCGAGGCGACGGGCGTGCTGCCCGCGCGGCAGAAGCTGCTCAACCTCAAGCTGGGCGGGCGGCCCGCGGGCGACTCCACGCTGCTGTCGCAGCTGGTCATCAAACCCACCGTCAAAATCATGATGATGGGGTGAGCCGTGCTGCTGGGGGGGTGAGCAGTGGTGATACGGTCCGTGGAGTGGTGATGGCAAGGTGGGGGTGGGAGGGGTTGGTGTGCGGGCAGCTGCATGGGCTGGGCTAGAAGCCATGGGACACATCAAATGCGCTGCATGCTGTCGATGCCCCCACACCCCTGCCCCCCTCCCCCTTCGTCTCCTCCCTCCCCTCCCTCTCCACCCTCCCATTTTGCACCCCACCCATCTGCTCTTTCCGAGTTGCATTGCACTCCTCTCTCCTGCCCACGTGCCTTGCCCCGCCCCGCCCGCTCTCCCTTTCCCCCCAGCACGGTGGAGTCAGAGATCGTGTTGGACCCGCTGGAGGCGCCCGAGGTGGTGGACGACTTGGAGCTGGCGGACGAGGAGGCGGTGGAGATCAAGGACCGCCCAGAGAACATCGCCAAGCTCAGGCGGAGGTCCAAGCACTTCCAGGCGCGCCATGCACTGCTCTCCCATGCTGATCACCCGCACATTCGACAGCCGCCTCCATTGCCCCTTTCCTCCCTCCACCGTTCTCTGATCGCCCTTCGCTTGCATCCCCGCCTCCTCTCCCCCGCACCCACCCTCTCCCTTGCACGCCTCCTCTCCCCTTGTCTTATCTCCCCACTTGTGCGCCTATCGTCCTCCCCGCTCCCCCAGCTGAAGGTGCTGAACCCCCCCCGCGCGGGCAAGCGGCTGCTGGTGCTGGACATCGACTACACGCTGTTCGACCATGTGTCCACCGCTGAGAACGCCAGGGAGCTCATGCGGCCATGTGAGGGGTCCAGGGGAGGCGAGGGCTAGTGGTGAGGGTAGCGGTGGGCGTGAGTGCAGGGACCATGGGCCTTCGACGATGTGCCCACGGTTGAGCACCCTACGAAGTCATGCAGCCATGTGGGGGGGGGGGGAAAGGGATGGTGGGATGTGAGAGCGGTGTGAGTGCTTGTGTGGTGGGGCTGAGAGTGCGAAGTGGGATGAGGAGGAGTGTGCACGTGGGAGTGGGTGGAGCGAGGTGGGCAGGAGGAGGTGGGCGGATGAAGGTGAAGGCAGTGAGGGGAGGGCAGGCACATGGGAGAGAGAGCGCCAACGCTGGGCCATTACTACCTTTGCATGCACTCGAATCCACATGCAATCAGCATCTCATCTCATCCACTTTTCACCTGCAATGTCCCACTTTACCTGCAATGTCCCACTTTACCTGCCATGTCCCACTTTACCTGCAATGGCCCACTTTACCTGCAATGGCCCACTTTACCTGCAATGGCCCACTTTACCTGCAATGGCCCACTTTACCTGCAATGGCCCACTTTACCTGCAATGTCCCACTTTACCTGCAATGGCCCACTTTACCTGCAATGGCCCACTTCTCCTTTTCACTGCCTCTCGTCCCTCCATTCCCCATGTCGTGCAACCGCACCCACTACCACGCCCTCCCGCCTCCCCCCGGCAGACCTGCACGAGTTCCTGGCTGCCAGCCACTCCGCCTACGACATCGTCATCTGGTCCGCCACCAGGTGATGACGTCATGCCACAAGGTGATGACGCCATGGCACCAGGTGGTGGTCCCATGGCATCAGGCAACCACTAGTCTCAGTGCCATCCCCCTGGACCCCTTTCCCATGGCCACCTCATTCCCTCTAGGTTCCAACCGTTTCCTCCCTCACCCCCCCATTTCCCCAGCATGCGGTGGGTGGAGGTGAAGATGCGCGAGCTGGGCGTGCTGGGGCACAGCGACTACAAGGTGCTGGCGCTGATGGACCACATGGCCATGATCACCGTGCAGTCGCCCACCCATGGGGTCTTCGACTGCAAGCCCCTCGCCATCCTCTGGGACAAGTTCCCCGAGGTGCGTGCTGTGCCGCACAAGCCCTCGCATTCTCCTCATGTGCTGTGCTGCCATCGCATTCATGTGCTGCCATCGCATTCGTGTGCTGCCATCGCATTCGTGTGCTGCCATCGCATTCATGTGCTGCCATCGCATTCATGTGCTGCCATCGCATTCATGTGCTGCCATCGCATTCATGTGCTGCCATCGCATTCATGTGCTGCCATCGCATTCATGTGCTGCCATCGCATTCATGTGCTGCCATCGCATTCATGTGCTGCCATCGCATTCATGTGCTGCCATCGCATTCATGTGCTGCCATCGCATTCATGTGCTGCCATCGCATTCATGTGCTGCCCTCGCATTCATGTGCTGCCATCGCATTCATGTGCTGCCATCGCATTCATGTGCTGCCATCGCATTCATGTGCTGCCATCGCATTCATGTGCTGCCATCGCATTCATGTGCTGCCATCGCATTCATGTGCTGCCATCGCATTCTTGCCGCTGATAGTTTTACTCAGCCGTGGCGCAGCTCCCGTGGCCATCTGCCTTCACACTTCCGCCTTTTTTATGTTCTGCCTCCAGTCTTCACACTCTCTCATCCCTCCATGCCTCACTCCCTTACTTCCCTCCATGCTCCCCTCTCCTCTCCCTCCTTCCCCACCCCCAGCACTACAGCGAGGCCAACACCATAATGTTTGACGACCTGCGCCGCAACTTCGTCATGAATCCGCGCAACGGGCTCACCATCCGCCCCTACCGCCGCGCGCATGCCAACCGCGCCTCGGACCGCGAGCTCGCCCGGCTCACAGAGTACCTGCTGGCCATCGCTGACCTGGACGACTGGAGCCAGCTGGACCACAACCAATGGGAGCGCTTCATGCGGCACCTCAAGAAGTAGGGAGGGAGGGGTGTGTGAGAAGGAAATGTCGAGAGGGGAGAATTGGTCGAGGATATCAAAGTGAGAAAGAATCACTAGTAGAATGATGCAAACATGTTGGTTTTGTCTAAGGGGTTGTTTGTACCCTCTACGAGCACGCACCTATCTAGCCTATAAAACATACAAAATAAAGTTTGACACACCCCCTAGGCTAGATGAGGGCCAGTGCCTGGCAGACACACAGCTCAGGGTGGCATTACTAGTCCAACCTCTGAGGCAGGGGTCCGACGACGAGTCAGCATGAGTACAAACTAAACAATAGCAATCCAGGGCAGTACTACCGTAATCCCCCGTATATAACACCCGCCGAAATAGTCACTCCGCGGGTGGTTTATGCGGGGGAGAGCTTATGATAAGGTGAATCTAGGAGAGCACCCGCTTTTCGGGGGTTGCATTTTACATAACACCCTCCTCGTTTTATGCAGCAAAGAACAATATTTAGTTGTTTTTCAAGCTCAGATCGATTGAGAAAAATAACGAACAGGATGAAAAAGGCAATGTCAACTACCATCGAAAAAAGGAGCAGAAACATCAACACAAGTTGCAGCGCGAAATCGAAACGTCAGCAAAGGTCGAGACTCGGGAGGATTTCGACCGTCGAAGTCGCAGATTCTGTTGTGATTTGACGGTCGGAATCCTCCAGAGCGAAATCCTCTCGTCGAAGTCGCGGATTCTGTCGCGACCATGACGGTCGCAGGTGCCGCACAAACCTGGCCCTGACCACAACAGTCAGCATAGATTGGCCAACGACGATTGGTTTGTGAGTTTCGTCTTAGCGGATGCTGAACCTCGCTAACAGTCGCTCCGCGCATTTGTGAACACACATGGCCTGAAACACTCAAATTCAAATTGCATTTTACATAACACATGGCCACTATATTTTTCCGGGCCACTGTTAACACCCAGTCATTTTTTTAGTGAATTTTTATATACACCATAGGGTGTTATATACGGGGGATTACAGTACTAGCCCAGCCACAGGGACAAGGGCCACAAGACCAGTCAAGATAATATAAAAGGAGTACATAATCAAGGTCCTAGCAAGTGAGAAGCTACAGGAACTAGACCAAGCTGTACACAGTGCCGTTGATGATCTTTAGGTGCAAGCGCCTTCGTAAAGATATCAGCTGTATTGGCACCTGAGGCCAAGTGTACTACGCGGGCCTAGCGGCGCAGCTGCAGCTCGCGCAGGAGGAAGTACCGCAGCTGGATGTGCTTCGCTCTGCCCTCCAGTCGAGGCTCCTAATACAGGAGGATCATGGCCCTGTTGTCAGCGTACAGGACCGGGGCAAGGCTAAGCCATTCACCTAAGTCAGTGAGCAAGAAAGTCAGCCAGCGGAGCTCCTGTGCCGCCATGGCAACAGCGTACATCTCAGCCTCACAGCTAGACTAGGCAACAGACGACGAGCGAGTGGACCTCCACGAGATGGTGCCTGCACCAAGGGAAAAAGTAGTAGCCCTGGGAGGACCTGAGGCTACGACGTTATCTAGATAACGCAAAACCCTCTTAGCGGCCGACCAGTGCTGTGGTCGGTGTCTGCCTGTGGCCACAAAGCGAGCCATGATGCTGAGAGGGTATGCGAGATCTGGACAAGTGCAAGTCATCAGGTACACGAGGCAACCCACTACCTCTGCGTAAGGACCACTAAGCTCTACAGACTCGTCAGGGACTAGAGCCGAGAGCCTGTGATCTACTGGCAGAGGTGTGGGCTGTGCGGAGGAGAACTGAAGACCGAACCTCTGAAGGACCTGGCGCACCAAGTGTGACTGTGTGAGTGATGGTGCTTGCTGCTCTGTCCCGGGAGATCTGCAGGCCAAGGTATTTGCGCTGCTCTCCTAGGTTAGTGCAGGTGTGTCTCCCCAGCAGCTCAGCCTTCACAGAGGCCAGTGCGTCTATGTCTGCAGTAGCAAAGACCAGGTCGTCTACGTAGACAAGGATGTAGAACGGGGTCCGGCCAGCACGAACGAAGAGCGAGGGGTCTGCAGACGACGGGAAGAACTGCAGGTCACCTGACGTAGTACGAAGCGTGTCGTGCCACTCGCGAAGCGCCTGCCGCAGGCCGTAAACCGGGCACCGGAGGAGCCACTGGGTCCTCAGGGCGAAGGTGCCGGTAAAGTTTGGGGGGCGACGCAGGTAGACCTGCTCGTGCAGACTGCCCTGAAGAAAAGCTGTCGAGAAGTCGAGAGAGTGCAGCATGTAATAACGCTGTGCTGCTACGTGTAACAGTGCCCAAAGAGTAGTCATCTTCGGGGTCGGGGCAAAAGTCTCAACATGAAGTCAACACACTCGCGCTAACTGAAGCCTCTAGCAACGTAGCATGCCTTGAAAATAGGCGGCTCTCCAGGAGGGCGCTTCATCTTGAAGAGCCACCTGCCATCGACTACGTTCATCCCAGGTAGGGGAACTGCATCGATGTAGGTGCCGGTGGATCTCCAAGATGCCATCTTTGCGTCCATGATAGCTATCTACTGAGAGGCCAAGAGTCCCGAGGTCGCCTCCGTGTAAGTGCGAGGGGTCGGGATGTCAAAGGCGTCAGGGTCCCCCTCAGAGACTAGCAGCATGGAGCAGAGATGAGGCGCAGCCTCGGACAGGAAAGCAAGCTCCTACTGCCAGTCCTCCATGACGTCACTGCCAAGGGCAGGAGCACCCCCGACGGATGGAGGACGGGCATGGTTAGAGACTAGAGCGATGGCGTAGTCAAGGCGGCGGGTAGAGGCGAAGTCAGTGACGGCAGCGACAAGCGCATCAAGACTCGAGACAGGAACAGACAGGTCGCTAACAAGGGAGGCAAGGACCCGAGAAACAAGAGGACTAGCGGCACGAAGAGGAGGAGGCGACAGGAGGAGGGGAGGACGAGACGTGTGGGAACGCAGTAACATAGGGTGAGAGCGCTGAACAAGAGAGACAGGGCGAGCACGGGAGGGACTGCGAGACCAGACGTGAGATGGAGGCGTCGGATCAGGAGACAAAGTAGGAGATACAGGAGGGGAACGAGGGGGAAGACGAGCCGGAGACAAGTCTAGCAGAGGAAAGACAGGGCCGTAAACAGGCACAGGAGGCGACGGCGGGGGAGGCGCAGGCGGGCGGTCAGGGGAGGGAAGATCGAGGAGGCAAAGGGCAGACACCGGTGGTGACTGCTGCTGCTGCTGCTGCTCCACACCAACATCAGAAGCTCCAGCTACCTCCGGAACGCACCACTCCAGCACCCCCAGAACAAGAAAACTCTCCAGCACCAGTGCCACCCCCAAGACCGCAGGGAGGAGCCACAACAGGAACCCCAGGACTAGCACCCCCACCAGCAGCACCCCCAGAACGAGAACCATCTGCAGCACCGGTGCCACCCCCGAGACTGCCGAGACAAGCCACGACAATAACCATAGGACTAGCACCCTCCTCAACGCCAGTACCTCTAGAACGCGCGGACCCCTGCAGAGGCTGCGGCTGCGGCGGTGGCTGCTACTGCGGGGGCGACGGCGGATGCTGCTGCTGCTGCGGCGGCGGAGGAGGAGACTCCGGGGCGGAGACAGGCGGCGAAACCGAAGCCACGGGGCCCCCGGAGTCAGCCACCTCCTCCACCGGGGCCACCGACGGGAGGGGAGTGACGTGAGACACACCAGACGTGGCTGGACGGGGAGGAAGAGGAGTAGGGGCTACTGGGGGAGTGGGAACAAGAAACAGGGGTGGGGAAACCGGGAGACCTGAGTGGGGAAAGCGGTGGTAGAAGGAGGCAAACTCGTCAAAAGTGACGTCACGCGAGTGAAGGAAGCGGTGAGAAGGCGGGTGGTAAAAGTGCCAGTCAGACGCGTCTAGGGGGGAACCAAGGAAGACACTGGGAACAGTGCGGGCAGAGAGCTTGTTAGTGCCAGAGGCACGAACGTGAGCGAGGCAGCCCCAAGCGTGGAATGCAGACGCGTCACCAGGAAACCCGGTCCAAAGAAGGGTCGGCGAAACCTGCGGCCGTTGGGAGTGTGGCCACAGTTTAAGCTGGTGAGCGGCGTAGCGAACAGCGAACGACCACAGAAAATGGGGTGCACCGGCATGGATCATGGAGGTATGAGCCACCTTCATGACTAAACCGATGCGTGGGGAGTCCGGCAGGGTGTACGACTGGGTGATCCCCTCCGCACGACAGAACTGGCCAAGTCGATCAGACGCAAACTCTCCGCCACGGTCGGAGTGGAGACGAAGCAGGGGGAGGCCGAGGTGGACTCGCGCAGCTACAACCCACGGGATAAGAACGTCAGGCACGTCGGCCTTCCACTTCAGAGGAAAGATCGTGGTCTAGTGTGTGTGGTCGTCGACAAGCACTAGAAAGTAGCGCTCTCAACGTGGCCCAGGGACGGGAGCTGGGCCCCAAACGTCCAAGTGCAGGGTCTGGAGTGGCACAGTAGTAGGGGGAAACGAGGAGGAGTGAGGAGCATGGCGCAGCCAGCCCTCGACGCAAGGCGTACATGGCGGCACAGGCGAGGGAGGGAGGGTAGGGAGCAACGCAGGGAGACCGAAGACAAGACCGTGATGAGACATGTGACGCATACGCGGAGTGCAGAGTGACCTAGGCGGTGGTGCCACAGCAACGACAAGTGAGTGAGCGACCGAAACGACCAATCCGCAGCGACCTGGGTTGCAGCAGGCACCTGGGGGGACGCCCTGCCTGGGGGGGACGTTGTGTCAAGCATAAACAGGCCGGACATAGGGTCCCGGGGGAACGTGGTCAGAGGGGCACCAGTGGTGGCCTCGGTACAAACCACGTACCGCTCGTGTCCGAGGAACGTAGTCATGCCGCCTAGGCCCTGAAGACAGCCGACACCAACTAGGTTCCTAGATAACGAGGGGATGTGCAGGCCTGTAAGAGAGCCCGAGGGGACCGCCGGACAGGGGAGGGTAGTGAAGCTACGGGCTACTACCAGACCTGAGGAGGGGTCAGCAGGCGCTATAGTAGCGGGGGCAGCAAGTGGTGTGAGGGCAGTGTGGTCGCAAATGAAGCAGGCAGACGCGCCAGAGTCGAGCGTAAAGGATAGCGAAGTAGTAGCGTCAGCCGGCGGAGGGCCTAGCATGGAGCCTAGGCTAAACAAGGCAGGGGGTCCTATGCCTGACGCAACAGGGGAGCCTAGACTACACACAGGGGACACAC